CTCTAGGACTCCTATTATGCATATGTTGGTATGCTTGAGGTGTCCCAAAGGTCTCTTAATCTCTGTTTATTATTCTTCATTCTTTCCTCTTTCTTCTCCCCAATTGACCTAACCACTGATTCTTGTTAATAGTCACATTTGTTACTGATCTCCCCTAGTGAATTTTTCATTTTATTTTACTTTTTTTTTCAATTCCAGAATTTCTAGTTAGTTCCTTTTTATAATTTCTTTCTCTTTATTGATACTCTCTATTTGGTGAGACATTATTCTCCTGGTTTCCTTTATCTCTTTGAACATATTTAAGACAGCTGATTTAAAGTCTCTGTCTGGTAAGTCCCATGTTTGCTTTTCCTCAAGGATGGTTTCTGATGACCTCTTTTTTTCCTGTGAATGGGCCATATTTTATTGTTTCTTTCCACACCTCATCATTTGTGTTGAAAACTGGACATATTGAAAATTATAATGTAGTAACTCTGGAAATTCAATTCTTCCCATTCCCAGGTTTGCTGCTCCTGCTTGTTGTGAGTTGTTGTTGTTGTTTGTTTAGTGAGTTTTCTAAAGTATTTTCTACAGTCTGTATTCTTTGTTACATGTGACCACTGAAGTCTGTGTTCCATTAGCTTAGTGGTCAGCTAGTGTTATGACCATAATTTCCTTAAACAACTACAGCCAAAATTAGAAGAAGAAAAGAAAAAGAAAAAATTACTCTCCCAGTTTTTTCAAGTTGGTTCTGTGTTGGGCATTCCTTCAGTGCTTAGCCAGGTGATTTATAACTCTGCCTTAGCCTTCACTTCATGCTACCATGGAGACTGAAGGTCAGCCAGAGGTGAAAATATAGGGTCTTCTAAGGCCTGTTTTGAACATGTGTCCAGACTTGGGTATGAGCATTGACTTCCTGATTCCCCAGTATACATGTGAACTTTTAAAAGACCTTATTCTCCCATGTATCTCTTTTCTTAAGTTCTTCCTTTCCAGGCTTTTTGACTTGTCTATTGCTTATTCTGTTTTGTATCTTGTCCCAGGATGCTGCAGCCAATTCTTTTGCCTTTAAATGTTTTTGGCAAACACTTCCCAGGAGGCCACCGCAGCCCTGCGAATGCTTCAAATCAAATAAAAAAAAGGAAAGTACTTGCACCAGTCCTTTAGGGAACCTCAAGACAGGTCAAAACACACAACCAGAATTCTTTGAGAATAAGGTCTATCTTCCTCCTTCTGGCACTAGCATCTGCACCAGGGGTGCAGGCTGTCATCTTTCTGGCTGCCATTGATCTGGGGGATGAAGGATGGCAAGTAGGCAATTAAAAATGCCACAGCACTCTCTCACTGCAATGCATCAGCTTCTTTCTTCATTAAGCTTTTTGTGGTTGTTGTAAGTTTTTACTAGATTGAAGGGTAATGTGAAACTTGATTTTAACAGCTCTTGTCAGCTTATTTGTTGCTTTTGTGAAGGCATGGAACCCTGGAATTCCATATTCTGCCATATTAAGTGACATCAATTGAAATAGTTCTGCAACTTACATTATGGACAAGAATATGTTTAATTTTGTAAATGTTCTATGTGTGCTTGAAAAGAGTATGTATTCTCCACTCTTAGATAAAATGAAATTTATATATCCATTTGACCTAGCTCATTGATTGTGTCATCCAAGATTTCTAAATTCTTATGAATATTTTTTCTGCTTAATAGTTGCTTATACATATTCAATCTCTCACTAGAATGATTGATATGTGTATTTCCCCCCATAATTCTATTCATTTTTGTTTTATGTACTTTAGACTGTAACAGATTTTTGTTAGTTTAGATATATTTCTTCCCAGTGTATTGAATGTTTTGTCATATTCAGTAAACTTCTTCATCTTTAGGTATACTTTTTACCTAAAAGCATAACATGAATGAAGCAATACTAGCTTTCTATTGATTAGTATTTGCCAGCATATAATTTTCTATCCTTTAATTTCAATTTATAGATTTTGTATATGTTTCTTAAAAACAGCATATAGATGAATATTTTCTTTTCAAGTCCAATAATATTAGTTTTTGTTTTTGTTTTTTTTTTGCAGTACGCAGGCCTCTCACTGTTGTGGCCTCTCCCATTGCGGAGCACAGGCTCCGGATGCGCAGGCTCAGCAGCCATGGCTCACGGGCCTAGCCGCTCCACGGCATGTGGGATCCTCCCGGACCGGGGCACAAACCCGTGTCCCCTGCATCGGCAGGTGGACTCTCAACCACTGCGCCACCAGGGAAGCCCAATATTAGTTTTTTGACTGGAGCATATAATTCATATAATGAAATTATTGATATATTTGGGTTAAATATACTCTATTTTGTCTCTTCTCTTTGTCTTGCCTTTTGCATGTTTTGTTTTCTCTCCTTTCTTGATTTGTATTGTATGAACTGTTTTGTTCTTTCTCCAGTCTTGCTTGATTTGTATTGTATAGACAACTATTTCATCTCCTTCTTTTTTTTTCTTGGGCAGCGCCATGGGGCCTCTAGGATCTTAGTTCCCCAACCAAGGATTGAACCCAGGCCCTCAGCAGTGAAAGTACAGAGTCCTAACCACTGCACTGCTAGGGAATTCCCTATTTTATCTCAGTATACTTGACCCCATTCTATTTTTCCTCCTCCAATAGTTTGGAAGTTAGTTATGTGCCTGATATCTATTATTCTGAAAATCTTCCTGAAAAATGTAACAGGCACGTTTAATGTATCTAAGCCTAAAATTCAGGAATATTTTTATCCTCTTTCTGACAAATACATGGTCTTAGAGAATTCCCATTCCTATAATCACCTCTCCAGATTTATGGGCTACTTTTGTCATGTATTTAGTTCTAGCTTTTCTTAATATTACAATAAATTATTATCATCATTTATACTCAATATTTGTTTAGTAGTACCTCCATATTTATCATATGCTTTGCTCTTCAATTCCACTTGAACCTTAGGTCTACCATTTGGGGTCAACTTCCTCTGTCTGAAGTATATCCTTTACAATTTCATTTTTAAAAGTCTGCTTGTAGCAAACCCTCAGTTTTAGCTTTTATTCTCTTTTAGGAACAAAGTAACATTGCCAGATCTAGTATGTGTCTGTGGGTCAGCAAAATTTCAGACAGCCTCCTTGTATCTACCCTGAAAGGAGGCAGTTGGTACTTGAGAAGGAACAGGAGAGGAGAAAGAACTATGTAAGTCATAAAACTGGGGTGACCATATCTCAGTGTTCACCTATTACTCTGACTAATTATTAATAACACTTTTCTCATTCTAAAAAGTTTTACAGTTTGGATAATAAATTCTACTGTCACTTGAATAAAGCCCAAATGACCTGCAGTCCTCCTGGCTTCTGGAGCCATGTTTTCATTTGTACTGAACTCAGATAGCTAGGGACTTTCACTTCGAATAGAATGGAGTAGCTTGTGGCAGTCCAATGTTGCCATTAAGAATCACCAAAAAGAGGGCTTCCCTGGTGGCGCAGTGGTTGAGAGTCCGCCTGCTGATGCTGGGGACACGGATTTGTGCCCCGGTCTGGGAAGATCCCACATGCAGCGGAGTGGCTGGGCGTGAGCCATGGCCCCTGAGCCTGCGCATCTGAAGCCTGTGCTCTGCAACGGGAGAGGCCACAACAGTGAGAGGGCCGCGTACTACAAAAAAAAAAAGAATAATCAAAAAGGGTTGATAAAACATCACAAACAAACAAATGAACAAACAAAAAAACAAGCAAACAAAAACCCATTTAAAGGTAAGAGAAAGATAAGAAGCATTGAGGATGAGGACTCAAGATTCCAAGGACAGGGAAGCTGAAGCTACAGCTGCTTTTTTCCCAGGGGCATTGGTCAATTCCATGTTTGCACCAGGAGGCAGGCAATCTGGATTCTGTCTGGGCAGAAGGCCACTGCTAGGAAACAGAGAAATCAGCAAAGTCTTTGGTTGTCTTGTGGGGCTGAAGAGACAAAATTGGAGCCTTGAAGGGCCAATAACTTAGTGGAAAAAAAAGGCTGGGGAGAACTGAGCCTGACATACAAAGAGTTTTCTCCTCAAAAAATTTGCCAAATTATGCAGTTGCATGAGGCAGAGGTTTAAAGTAATTAGAAAGCCCTTAAAACAGAGCTGAAGTTTTGGCAGTTTTTGTTGTATTTTGCAATCTTACTCTTCTGAGGAGAGAAAAGTTATAGTGCATGACTGCTAGGGCAAATTTTCATAATTTAAAAATTTGATTAATCCAAAAGAAGCAAAGAAAGAAAGAAAATGTGGCATAAACCAGGAGGACAAAATATAGAAAAATAAAGCAAAATTGTAGACATAAATGCAAATATATCAGTAAATACAGTAAATGTAAGTAGACTAAATAGTCCAGTACAAAGACAAATGATAGTCAAACTGGTTAAAAACAAAAACCAACTACATACTGCTTATAAGAGATACTTCTTAAATAAAGAGGAACATTTTATAATAAAACAGAGTTCAGAGTACATCATAAAGTCACACTGTTTATCCTTTGTAATCTTAGTATTTGCAAGAATTACCAGGGTAGAGCATAATGACAGGTCCCTTGGTTGTTACCTGTCATCTCTCCCTCCCATTTACTGCACACAGCTCAACTCCAAATCAGCACGGATCGTCTAGCTTCTTGCCTACTTGCCTTCTTCCTTCACTGCTTTATTTCAAGAGGAGATACAGCCCTCTTCTTTCATTCCTCACAAACACAACACTTAGCTTGTAACAGATAATTGCTCAGGCTTAGGGATAATGAAAGTGTTGCATGTGACATGACTCTCATGTGAATTGGAAGTATAAAAACAGAACATAAAATCCATAATTGCTGGATTAATTTAAGATGGAAATGGGGAGAAGACAGAAAGCAGTGAATCTTAGTTGTAACTATTGGCTTTTTACATGCTATTAAAACCTGCTAAAATCTCATCCATTCAGCTCTCCCTTCTACAGCAATTTGGTTCTCTGCCAAACTTTTGGTAATAAATAGAGCCTGCAAGCTCTCTGAACAGAGAACTGCAGCCTTTCAGGGAAGAAGTCAAAACAAGGTCACAAGGTAAGAATGAAATCAATATTCTGGTAGATTTTTAGTCACGTCTTGCAAAGTGAGACCTTGAGAACCATGGAGAAATGGTTTTATTTCTATAAAATAAAGGATTAGGTCGATTTATTATTATTGCCAATAGGAGTAAAAGTTGATGATAATAGTTGCTACTAACTTCGAATTCCATTTTGCTTTCCTTTGAGTGATTTATAAAATTATTAATAGATTGCTAAAATAAATTGTTTTTATAGTACTGTTCCCCTTCCTCACCACAAAACTTCGTAAAGAAAGTTGATAATTCTATTTCCTACTCCTGAAATGCTTATCCAAGACAAACATACTCACAATTGTTTACAAGCGGTTTTCAAGAAAGGACAAATATAAGAACTGAAAAGTGCCATTCCCTCAAAAAAATCTGCTCAAAAATAATTTGTGAAAAAATAAGGAATTAACATTCTAAATAAGTAAATTTAGAAGCTCATTAGTGTTGTTACTATTCTTCATTTAGTAGTTTTTGTTCTCTTTAATTCTTGCTGTCTTGCACTTTCCTTTGCCTTATCTTTCCCTGCATGAATACTTGCCTCCAGACTATTTTAATTTAAAAAATGACACAAGGTCCTAAGTATTGTGGCTGCACAAGAGTTGATTCTAGAAGGTCTTCGGAGACTTGAGAGTGGAGTATCTAGGACTAGGTGTGGCTGGATATTCTTGATGCTCACTCACTCCTCAGCATTGTGCTTCCTCAGCTTGAATCATCCCTTTATGTCACTGTATGCATCCCTGTATGTCATCCTTTGCTGTTCCCTACATCCCTACCTACTGCTTCTCACATTTGTCTTTTGAATACTTAGTGCACTTCTTCTAATTTCGACCCTGAAAAGGCACAGCTCTGTGTTCAGAAAACTTCAGAATCCTCTGTTTCTTAAAGTTTAGGGTGGGTGCTTGAGGTGAATCACACAGCTGGGTAGTGTCCTTAAATTGTAAAGAATTCTCACGGGCATCACTGTCTGCAACTCAAATTTCATATTTTCTTCTCCATGCTTCTCTGAAAGGATCCTGGATTTCCTACAAATATTTGACCGGTGGCTGCATGATTCATTTTCTCAGCAATGTGTTGACTTAGATGTTTTTCACTTTCCCACCACTGTTTAACTTACAATGTCTAAAGCAAGAATGTACCTCTTTTCCTTTCCCATTTATGGAGAGAGAAGAATCCTGAGGGGAACTTTCACTTAGGGGTTGAAATAGGTCTAAAAAGTAAGGGAAGCGATTGAGAAATGGGAGCTGCCTCTTCTGGCCAAAGTCTGTAGAGGATTAAAGAAACAGCTTTCAACCAACTTCAGGGAATGTATCTGAGTTTCAGCTGTAAAAAGTTCTGCTCCATGGAGGAATTAAATCATTACAGGGAAATACTGTGGGAGGTGAGGAGGGGGGTTGGGGTGCAGCATTGAGGGAAGAAAAAAATAAACACCAAGAATTGTTTATGCGAGTAAATCTGACAGCATGTCTGTTTTGGAGATATGAGTGCAAAGTTAAATCATTACATGGAAGTACTGCAGAGGGGGCAGCACTGGGGGAAGAAAAATATATACATCAGGGAATATTTATGCCAGTAAATCTGATAGCATTAGATCTTTTTTGGAGATGTGAGTGTAACTGCGCCAAAATCAATGTATCTTTCATTCAACAAGTTGAAATTTTGCCAAACATGGTGGGAATGAAGTGATAGAATTCTCTTATATCTCAACTTGCAGCAGGAACATTTAGAAACATTAAGACCAAAAATAATCTCCTTGAACAGTAGAAAGAGATCTTAATTCCATTAAAAAAAAATGATGCTTGGTTCAAGGACTTTAGGAAATCCTGGTAGAACCTCTAATCTCTTTTCAGTTTCCCTGTGGTTTCTCTGGTGCTATATCTGTACGCAAAAGGAACCTTTAAGGGTACACAGCCTTAGAGGACAGGCAAAGTTCATTTTTGGAGGTGTTAAAGGGGGGAATAAAGAGTTTGGGGCACTTCTTCCCTGTAGCAGACTCCTGGCACACGTTCACATGCTGTCCTTGTTATTGTTGGTAAATCATGCTATATCTGTGAAGGTTTTTGATTTTTTTGTTTTGTTTTGATTTTTGCTTTAAGTGAAGAGTGCAGTATAGCATAATAGTAAAAAACACAGATTTTTAGAGTAAGATAGGCCTCAACTCCATTATCTGTCATTGATTAGCTGTATGATTTTGGATCTTAACTTTCCTGAGCCTGAATTTTTTTTCTCTTGTGTAAAATGTAAAACAAAATCAAAACAATAATAAAACACTCTACCCTAGAGAGGTGATGAGATGCTTATGAAGGTAAAGCAAGTCAGAAGCAGTCATGAAAGGTAACTGTTAATGATCACTGAAATTTTACTAAATGTGAGACATTCATTCCACATTCTCCCATTTAATCTTCACAGTACCTCTGTGAAATAAATATTATCTTCTCCATTTATAAAATTAAGCAGGTGAGATTTAGAAAGATCGCACTAACCCAACATGACACAACTAGCAAATTTCAGACCAGCAATTAAAACCCAGAGTTAAGTTCCATGAATGAGAAAGACCAACAGGGAAAATGGATTCCAAATGACTTAATTTAATGTCTCTAATCCTCTTTGTGAAGCCATTTTCTATTCAAATTTTCCATCATTTCCAAATAAAAATTTTAGTGAGATAACATTAAAACCTTTCACCTGTTTTCTTTAGGGCTACATTCATTACCATCTGAGGGAACGGGTTCTTGTCAGCCACTGTTCTCTTATGTGACTTTCTTTTGTCATTCCCACTGGTAATGCCAGAACAAACAGTATCCGTCCATAAATTTGGCTTTACTTTTAACCAGCATACCAGTCTGACCATCTAGTTCCCCTTCACTTTGAACAGCTCATAAATTGGATGATCATCACAATTTTCCCCAGCAGTGTTAATGAATCTGAGACCTTTTGCAATTGTAAGAATGTTTTGCTCATTACTTCTCTTGGATTTCCTAGCAAAGATTAGATATTTTCTTAAAGAGTTGGACAGAACTTCATAGTTTTGCATGTCTGCTGTGTTCAAATCTCAACCACTCTAACTTCTTAGCCCTAACTTCTTAGCCTGCTGGCTCTATCAGTTGCAGTTGTTTAAGAAATGCTATTTAAGTAGTTTATATTTTCTTTAAAAAGAGAAAATGATATGACTTTTCCCCATGTTCTTTCATTTGGGGGCTTGTTAAACCCAAACATGAACTTTCCTCTAACCTGAATTTATTAGTTCCAAAATTTTCCCTACCTAAGGTTTTATTTTTCAATTATCTTTTATACATATATTATATATATTAATTGTCCACACTCTTTAGCAATCCTGTTTAAACAATACTTTATCAGTAGTCAGCATGATTGCTTCATGCAGGTAAATCAGTAGTAGTAATATTGTTTCCTTGAGTAAATATTTCTTATTTTCTAGTCATTTTTAAGAGTTTGAGCCACAGACCTAGGTGCCAACATTCACTCTAGTGTAATTCGGTGGCTATCTTTAGCTTCCTTTTTTTTCTTCATTATGACTTGTATAAGATCCATATTACCTCAATGTATATGTAGCATTACTTTATCAAAGAGCATGCATATGTTTTTCTTCACTGACTTTCTCACATGCCATATGGTTTGTGAAATCATAATCATAATTGTCACTATGTGGTGCCAATTACATTTATTAGAATAAATCGGATGTTATTGACTCAAAGGAGTATAAGCTGTTTTACTAAAAAAGTTTGGAGGGTCCCATGCCTAGGATGTGACATATAATGCTTACATGTGGCTGTCCAATTATTATTACCATTCATTATGTCAAGTGGAAGGATTTCTCCTCAGTACTATGAGGTCCATGAGATTAGACACAGCATTTAGAAGCGTTAAAGTCATTCGCACTGTGATGTGCCAGTTGGAAAAAAATGTTGTTTATAAATCTTTGTATTTTTTTAATTCATAAAAGTATAAAAAATTAGATAGAAGTCCAGTTTATAGCAGCGTCCAATTTTTTTTTCTGGTTATTTGTGGGAAATGCTCCTAAAAGAGCATCTGGCTTTAGACTTATTGGCTCTCCCTACTATCTAGATAGAATCATGCAGGGACTAGTAACCTCGAGGGTTGTAGTTCACTGCTAGGTCCAGATAACTTCTGTACTTATTACATGCAACACCTCTTCTTGGCAAAGAAAGGGACACCAGTTATATTCTTTTGCTCTGCATCATTAGGCATAGAAAGAGGTCATATCTGTCCAGGGGAGGAAAATAATTAGGTCTTATCTTGGAGAAGAGAAGTGTCTAGCATAGTCTTCATTTCAGTAGTTTTCATTTTAAACCCAGCTACCAGGTAACCAAGACTGAGCTTACTTGGATTCCCATGTAAGGATGATGAAGTCAGCAATCTGGGAAACTGCTACAGCCCATGAAGTAGGCAGGGTGGGAGACAAAGGCTTGTCACGCCATGGTGGACAAGTTTCCAGACCTCTGAGTTGTATTTCTGATCATTGCACAAGATAGCTCTGTTGAAACTTTTATGGGAATTAAATATCCAGGGTATGGATTGTGTCTTAGCTTATTCAGGTCAATGTCCAGGAACTCCCACATCTGTGAGTAGAAAGCTTCTATACTCTTGAATTTTAAATGTCTTCTAACAATCAAATTTAATATCTAATACACAATGCAGTATATCACTGGGTGGCCATTTGGTTGTGAAAGAAAATCTCATGGTCTGTCCAGGGATGACGTTCAAAACATTTAACAGCTGGCATGGCATGGCAGAGATAAGTGAGAAAGGAACTAGCCACGTGGAGCATGCCAGCTGAATACCAACTTTGGAAGGGACTCTCATTGTGGCTTTGGCCTCTATCAACTAATTTGGGATAATGTGGTAGTGAAGGAGCTGTGGAATAGCTTAAGTTTTGCGGTACGCAGGCCTCTCACTGTTGTGGCCTCTCCCGTTGCGGAGCACAGGCTCCAGA